CAACATTCGTCTCCTCGGCTTTGCGTCTTGCTTCTGGCCCCGGGGATGAAAGTTCACCTAACATGAGCGGTTCAGAGTAAAATTTCGACAGATAAAAAAAGTCTGCTGACAGTTTTTATTAAGAGTCACTACTAAAGTAGTCGGTTTGTGTATTTTGGCTTTTCTACAACGAAAGAAACTTGACGTATCTTTCAACTTCATTCTGTCATCTTTAAAGAGCGAAATAATTTTGATGGAAAGTCACGACTTTGGGAGGGTTGTTACCTTCGAGGGATCAATGCTTTTGGGATATGCAAGCTGCCGAAAAACTAAATTGAAACTTTCCGTGGTCAAAATCGAGTCAATACCACTCCGAAAGACTGGGGATAGCAACAAACAAAATGGCCCATATCCGACAAGTTTCGGCCGCCGTCACTTTTGCTAAAATTTGTAAGAGACGAGATATAGATTGAACTCGGCCAAGTTATCTCAAGTCGCACAAAAACAAAAGTTCCTTCCTTTAGAACCAACTTTTTTCTCCATTCTTCACAAAGTTCGGTCAACCGCAGTTTTCCTTGAGTCCTTTTTAAAATTTTCCTTGTACCTTCTTTTCTTCACACCACAGCGTAAAAAATATCTGTCTCTTCTGAAAAATTAATCTTCGATTATGTTAAGGAAGACTTGCCAAGAACGGCAATTTGGTCTTCAATTCTGACGCAAGAAAACCTTTACCTTCCACTCCCTAATCAGTAGAAATTGGTAAAAAAGATCCCTCATTTTCGATCGATTTCGGCTACGATCGTCTCCGCGTTTTTAACAGATGTTTCAAAATTCTGCGAATTAAGCGATTTGAAGATTTGATTTACAAGAAAAACTCGTGACGTGAGCCTGTTACAAGCTTGTCGCCTGCGACAAAGTCGTACCGTGTTAATCGGCCCTGAATTTAATTGCATTTTCCATGTCGTATGCTGGTCTTCAATTGATTAAGTTTCACTAAATATCAATGAAAACACTGGATTTAACTTGCAGTCAGTTTCAAATGTTTTAAAGGGGGGGTTAGAGAACGAGTGTTTGTAGTGGAATCAAGTGATTTCAAGGGAAATCAAGTGATTTCCGCTTTCTAATGTGAACTTGCCGGAACATAGGAATATATTCAAATCGAGGCACCTTAAATAAAATTGCATCAATTTCCACCCTCTGTAATTATTTATTGTTTGGTTGAGAACAGTACCAGTTTCCGTGGACAACTGACTCACATTTAAGTCGACGGTAAGCGTAATTGTAAAAATCTAGTCAGTTGCGTCTTGCTTTCATATTCTATAATGAAAAGAAAGCTTAAGATTTTTTTTTAACAAATGCACTGCTTGGGAAGAACTTTTGAGCGATCCTGGTCACTTTACCTCGATGGGCAATGAAGAACCTCGCTTTGCTTATTTTTTATTAAATCTCATTTTGACTTTGTTATAAGCTTATGCTTACTTGTTCTTACCTGACAACAGGATTTCTTTCCTCCTCGGACCTAATTACTATCTATCGCCAATCCATTATGTTCAGGTTTGGTCCGCAGCCGAAGAAAACCTGCTACAGAAGTCAAAGATGAAGAGTTCGTAGACCTTTTCATAATCTGAAAGATGCTTTGGAATATTAAGGCATACAGACCAATTAGGGGCCGGTGAAATAAAAAAGCTGTTTCCGACTGCTTTTTTATTTCACTTTTTTAAAGATCACCGGCATGATTTGATGCATATTTTAACGTTTTTCGGTTTCTGCCATGTCCTTTAGCGATTGAACATTTTCATTTCACTTTTTTAAGCAGACACGCTGATGGGAAATGGAAAAATTCAGGATTTCTTAGAAGTGTGGGCGAAAGAAATTTACAACATCAGTTCCTATCAATCCCTCGTAAGGATTCAAAACCCAGCTTATTCAATTCCGGCTCCGCGTTCGGATACTTTTGCCAACTGGAACTTGTGAGGAGTCTACAGGTTCACGGCACGGCGAGATAGCTGACATCTTACGCATTGCTACTAGCAGTAGTTTCGAAAGTGTCCTTGGGATGTTGAGTAAGAAAGATGATAAGATTGTGAATCTAAAAGATTTCAGTTCAACATATCTGTCAGTTCTACGACGATCGAGCTCAAAGTTCTTGCTGAATTTTCCATCGATTTAGCCAGGTTAACAAAAGTAACAATGTTTCAGTTGCGATCACTTTGTAGTCACCAATCATGCCCGCGATCACGTTATGCTCCATTTTTTCACCGTGATCACGTCTCAAAATAGGTGCCATGACAGTGATCATGCTAATAGCGTGATGGCCTCTGATACGGTGTGAACACAAGGCAAATTGGCGAGGCTCTGTTGAGTTAAATGCTTGCCAACTTTCATTTTCTTTGAATTAAATCACAACAAGATGAGGAATACAATCAAGACTGTTGAATAAAAACGTCTTGAATCCTATCAAGCTTTTATTTCCTCAGTGTGGCCTTCGTCTAATATACTGGATACGCATAATTTATAACATGTGCTCTCGCAGTTGCTTATATTTGTTCCATTATGAAATGTTTATAAACAGAAGTTTCTTGTATTCTCTCAAACCGGGAGCGTCCGTAATTAGAGGTCAGAGATATGATTTCTACCACAAGGCCTGCTAGGCATAAAAATAGGAGTCTAACACTGTCATCTGCTGTTTAATGACCCAGTATTATTTTTTTTCTATTGCACTACTGCCGAGAAATATTTCAGTTTCGTGTGGTCAGTAGTCATGGCTTTCTTTTGAACATGTGCCGTATTAAGAAAATTCCTTGAAACCAGAAAAAATAATCTAGAAAAAAAATTTTTTTTGATGCATTTTTTTATGATTGCCGTTGGGTATTTTTCTACATTTAGGTTTTCTCTTAACGTTCGACTATCAGAAGTGATGTAAATTCTTCTAACAATTTTGATTCAATGTACATGGTCAAGCTGACAGTTAATAGAAATCAAGAATATGATCAGTTGGAATCTATTGCTATGACTCAACACCAAATTCTACACAGTAGCCAACGAAGAAATGTAGGGATATCAGTCGTCAGAATTTGCCAGGGGATCTCGGGGATGACAAAGATCAAAACAGAAGCTTGGTAAATAACGTATGTTGATTTCGTCGCCATGGTCTGACGAAATGTCAAGCCAGAAATTTCCTTTTCTTGTAGGGTTGACATCATTCTTAAAAATGGAAGCTGCGTAAAAGTTTTCGGGGACAAAAACTTCGAATAACGTCACATTCACATCAAAAAAATTGCATAAATATTCATGGCCCGCACTATAATAATTAAAAGGTCCGGTTGTTTCGCCGTAAACAGTTATCTTCTTGCGAAAGATTTTGCAGGTGGGTGTTATATTTATGTTGAAACTGTTCAGAGTTGACATTAGTCCTCGTAATAGTCTTAGAAAACGTGTTACTAATTGCATAACGTTCTCAGACTAAGATCGAATTATACATTTTTCTATCAGGTTCAACAGCTATCTGGAGTTTTCTGAGTTTTTCACCAATAAAAAGATTTTTGATAAAAGGTGAGTTTTATGGGTCATTTATGCGAAACAAAAACAATGTTGGTCGTGCTCATGTCCGTGTAACGCAACAAAAAATCGGACGAAATGATCAGCCAATAAAACTGAATTATTCCAAATTCGTTTTGGTCAAAATTCATGTACAAAACTCAAAAGCTGGGGATGCAGCTGTGAAGGAAAAGCTCAGTAAGAAAATGGGGCGTGACAAAAATGAAAGAATCATTTCGTGACATCATAAGATTAATTCACTTCATAAGTATGAAAATGAAAAAGCGTAGTAAGAGACCCGATAAACTACAAGACTGGCTTAAGATTTAAAGATAAAGAAGATGTACCTCGGGTAAAATTTGTTAGAGGGTTCGAAATGATTCAGGGATACCATTGTTCTCTTCCCTCTTGGAAGCGCTACTGAAGAGCTAGGAAAAGTAAGTAAAGCATAAAGAATTCACCAGGTTTCTAATATATTTCTTCTCTCCATTCATCCATCCATCTATTATTTCTCTCATTCCTTTATTCTTCCTTCTAACGGACAGTCACACTGTCAGTCAGTTATTGATGCATTGACTATGACAAATACCTTACTATTTGTTTTTTTTTTCTATTATTTCAGAGGAGAGACATTAGCATTCCTTCTGTGAAAATTTCCACGCCGTTACTTATTCAACAACATTAGAAAAGTTTTGCTACGTTACGCCATCACTTCACAGGATGACGGTCAAAACTTTAAAACAATTGGCGGACGAGTGGTTTGTCACGATTCTCATCTGCTTCTGGGCACTACTCAACGTGTGTACGTTATTTATAACCAGTACCCTGGACCATACAATCCATCATTGGTTGGTGAACGGATTAACTCTTGCTACTCAAGCTAATAACACCACGAAATATAATTATCAGTAGAGTATCGATGCAGACATTTTAGGGTGATTAAAGAATGAACATTACAAAGATAAATATATTTTTATAGACAGAAATATTTATTGATTTACTCAGTTGCTTATCGGTTCATCCAGCTATTAACAACATTAGAGATGTACATATTTTAATAAGTTACGTATTTACAATGTTTCAAATGCGCAAGTTCGGTTATCAGTTTATCCATGCGTCCTTTCATTGATTAAATCGGAAGATAGAAAATCACAAAGTTTAAGGAAAAATAGCTACTGATGTGTAACAAACGGCTCAAACGTAATCATCTTGTTTTCCTTCGCTAGTAATTAAGAATAATTGTCAATGATGGATGCTGATAAAACAAAGTTCTCGGACATTCTGTTGTACAGTAATCATTCTGTGTTGAAGATATTCTACTCAGCCTCAGAGGGGAGGGTCATCAGTGAAAGTGAGTGCCAAAAGGGGAGGGTCATACCTCTTTGTAAGCTATTTAAGGGGAGGGTCACACACCTTTTCCAGAATTTTTTAATGAAGATTTTTATGATGTTGCTTTCCATTTTCCTTACAGATTAAGTTTTTCTTTTCACCTACTATGATTTAATTGGTGTTTTATTATAGGTTCTTGTTTACATTTCTACATGTATATTATGCCATGGCACATAGTTTTCTTGGAGGAATCGTGTCCTTTTCCGTCCGTATCGAGACGTTCTAGACTCAGGTATCGTTTCTTCAGCTTCTTGCTCCTGTTGACTAACCGCTGCCTGATCTCCTGAGTCATTTGATTCTGAAGAGTTACTACTAAATCCAACAATGCGCTCTACCCTGTCAATGTCACTATCAGACTCTGAATTTGAGTCAGAGGCTGGCTGAATGTCGTTCTGACTGTCCTGCACAATAGAAGTCAAAATCTTATCGCTAATATGTGCCTTCACCCTCACTTTCTCGTCTTTCTCTCCTTTAATTGAAATATTGTGGTGATTAATATAAAGTTCAAGTTCACCTACTTTAAGGGATGATAACTGATTTCTGTGATAGAGATCTTCCCAGTCAATGTCATTGTATTCCTGTTGCTTTCTTTTTGCACGGTTCTCGTCATTATCTGTTCGCCGCTCAATATAATGTGCAACAAGCTTTTCTGAAACAGTATATTTTTCAGAAAAATCTTTGATTGCCTTTTTATTCCTTGCCTTAAACACATCTGTTTTATTTATTTATATTCAAACATTTTGCGTTCACAAGCGAAATGTTCTAAGGTTTCTACGGCATGGAACATACTATGTACCTTCCCTAATAAACTTGTATATTATGTACAAAGTCATGGCGTATATTTCTAAGTCTCTAAGTGAAAGCAATTTAACAATTTAATCATGCCATTCCATCGGGGGGGGGAGGGGGAAGTGCCATCCCATCAGGGGGGGAGGGGGAAGTTTGCCCAACGGCAGGCATTTAACTCAGATATTCCTTCTACATGAAGAAAGAAAACAATACAGGCCTTGAGGTGTGCCTTGACGTAGGCTCAAGTTAGCTAGTCTCATGAGAAAGAAATAGATCTTGCACCTTACTTGCATATCGTTGTTTGGTGTGTAACATATAGATGCTGCTTAGGTATGATCATCACAAGAGGATTTGATTTGATTTGATTTCTCGGGACCACCAAAATCGGGAGTTATCTTAAATGGCCTAGAAAAACTTATCAGTCTCCTGGTTAGATCCTTTTCAGCAAATAATCTGGCTCCGTCTTTGCATATTGATACGATTTCTAGTAAGAAGGCGGTCAAAATTTCTTGACTTAATATAGAATCTTTCGAATAAGACAGTTTCATCTCCTCTCTGGAGTAACTACCATCTGACATTTGTTCAAATAATCTGATTTTTAGTCGGGACCATATTCCTCTACGAAATAGTGTAAGCGGCTACGTCATCATCTTGATCTGTTATCCTGTGGCGACGTTTACACCATAAGGCACCACAAATCTTGAGTAATGCTTTCCTGTACTCTTTACTGAGAAATCCATACACGGCCCAGTTAAATGAAGAGTTGGCAAAAACCAGCCACTTTACCACACCACCGAAATAAAATCTATTCGGTAGTTGCTCGTTGAAAGCACCATCGATAGCATGAAATATGAGGAAGGGAAGGTATGCAAGGGCGAAAAGACCAACCAGAATACTTAGCGTTTTCGCTGATTTCTTTGCCTGAGATGCATAGTGATGCTCTCTTCCGATCCAACGGCAGGTCGAATTGATCCTTCTCGCTTGTTGACGAGATATTCGAAATATCTTGGCGTACACAAAAAGACAAATTACGAATGGTGCAAGAAGGTCGAAAAGTAACAGCAAAACGGAATAGGTCAAGGGAGCAGAGAGGTCTGCGCAAATTAATGGGCGAGACCGACTCCATATAAAGTAACTTATAAATCCACTGATAAATGCAAATAGCCATATGAAGGCAATTGATGCGACAATGGTGTTTGAAATTTCTCGGCAGTACCGTAAAGGACGAGAAATTGCCAAATATCGATCAATTCCTGTTGCACATAAGTTGCAGATGGAGGCACTTCCAAGGGAAACAAATCCCGAGTTGAAAACATTGCACACAGTTGGCCCAAAAGGCCAGTACGGGTAATTGGATAAACGAACAATCTCTAGTGGCATTATCAGCAAAGCAAGAAGAATGTCCGACGTCACCAGACTCAGGAAAAACACGTTCGTTCGCGTCCTTAAAGAGCGGTTCAAAAAGAACGCCGCATAAACAGCCAGATCACCCAAAATCGTCAGAAAAATAAGAAAAATTATTGCACAGTTGCCGGTGGTCACAAAAACGAAAAATGTTGAAGAATTGATCATTGGTGATGACTTTGAAATTTTCTTTAGGCGACGGCACAGAAACCAGAATCAACTAATATTTTGATCTTAAATTATGGATCAGATCGCAATTTATTGTAAGAAAACTGCTTTTATTTATTCTCTACCTAATGAGATTTGCACCTCTTGACAGAGTCAGGCAATATATATAACTTATATCCAATCATTGGGCACTCTTAGTGCAGCTGAAAAGGTGTAATAAGACTGACAAGAATGAAAACATTGCTCTAAAATAACCGTTATTATGACTGTCTTTTTAGAGAACACCTGTTCCCGATAGAAAAATAGTAATCATATCACTTATGTGAAAAGACTATTAAGGATTTTACATTACTTGAAGACGTATGTTTTTTCCAAAGCCAACCTAAAAATAATACCTGCGCCTTAAAAAACCGTAAAGCGTGAATATCGTTCGAGAAGTGAATCAACTAATGAATCGAGCAGAAGAGTTCAAATTAAAAACTCTGTATAATATGCCTTGATATTATTAAGGACATTATTCTAAAAAATTCCTATTTGATTGATTGATTGATTGAGCAATGTCGCCTCCATCAACAATTGCGCTGCGATCACCAGTTATTTCTAGTTTATTACCTTTTCGAGAGGACTTCAAAGAGTCATTTGGGAGGCAAAAAGCCACATGACTCCTTTCAGTGGAGCCAATTTATTTCTAGCCGACTGTTTCTAGTTTATTACCTTTTCGAAAGGACTCCAAAGAGTCATTTGGGAAGTAAAAAGCCAACTCCTGTCAGTGGAGAAAGGCCGCCTATGGAATATTTAAACATCATCGCGATCTTCTAAACTCACGCACAAAAAGAGTCGTCGAAATTACAGATTTCCTACTTTCCCTGGTTTGAACGGGAACAGTCACGATAATGCTTCTTAACTATAATGCGAAATGACACGATTGGAGGAGGATATTAATGGGATGAAGACTTTTACGGCTCACGGTTAATTCCTTTCCGTTAAAACTCATATTGGAAATTAATAATTGATTTTAACTGTTCTAATACACCTTTACCCACTCGCTTTCATCATCAGAGTCAAGCAGTAAGGGTAACTCCAGAATGAGCGACTGCTGTCACTGTTGGGTTGACAAATAGTAACTTTCTGTTTTCCCGCTGATTTTCATATGGCGGTAGAGTTTCAGGGAAAATGCCTCAGCCCAAAATTCTTTGCTTGGATGATAAGATAAAGAAAAACGATCATATTTTTTATTTAAAATTACTGAAATAGAACGGTGTTTTTCTCCGATTAAATTGATTCTTGCCAAATATCTTGCAATTGACCTTTCCTCCCAAGCTCGATACAAACTAAAGAAAAATTTTTACGGCCAATTTTTAGCATAACGAACGGTTAGAATTAATTTCGTCAACCTCTACGCCAGTGAAGCGGCCAATATAATTTTGGTTTCTTTCCTGTTTTTCGGTTAACCCAACGTCTTAAAGCGAGTTTAGGCTGCTCCAAATTCAGCATAGTGTTTGTAAAACACCATCTCAAAAATGTGTTAACCCTCGCTATTCAAATGTGTGAACTAATGTGAAAATTAGAATTTCTTCATATGTAAATAATGAATTTCAAAATCGCAAATTTTTGCAGAATCTTTTTTCACGATGTCCTAGCTCTCACGATCAAAAAGTATGTTTCCACATCTTATGCTATTAAGCGACAAAATAATCAGCGGAATATCAGTGGTTTCAGTCTTTGAAAACCAGAAATACGATCAAACAGAGCACTAAAGGCTAAATGAAAGGAGAACACAATTTCGAGCCAATAATCCAAGTTACAATTCTAAAAAGATTGTGAGAGTTTCGTTCATGCACCGTGTACCACAAGACTTCCGTTATACACTTAACCTAAGTGATCTATAACCTGACTGTCTTCCTACGTCACACATGCCGGTCGTAAGCGATGACGTTGCAGGTGATTGTCGATTTATGATGTACGTCTTGGTTGTGAAAGTTATAACAGAATATATCTGTTTTACATCCAGGACCTGTCCTGAGTTGTTGATTCAACTGAGGAGCAACAGTTGTCTCTGTACTTCTCAGACTGCCATATTCATTAATTGCGGTACGCTTGATATCGTATTCCATACTTCATCGCGTCTGGTAAGACAACCCGTTCCTCTTTCGCCCACAAGACAATCACGAAACAAGTGAAATTGCTTTTCTTTTCTCCTTCTTTTTCTTCGCACATGTCGTTTCTTTAGAAAAAGAGAAACAGCAAATATAATTTACTACAACGAATTTGAAGGCCTATTAACCTACTTCATCAAAAGTTCCTTCTCGTTAAGATAAACCATCTCAATGATTGTTCTCAAGTAAAATTCATTATTAGACCCAGCAAAATATTGTAAACAAATACGCAAAGGACAAATTCTAGGTTTTTTAAGTTATGGTGTTGAGTTGGCCAGCAAGAACAACAATTGCATCAAATGAGAGTCGAGGAAGGTAAAAAAAAAACCATTGTGGTGAATATCGAAAGCGAAAGTTTAGAGTGTTCGCCCTTTGTCGGAGCAAAGAGCAAAAGACGAACGCTTGAAAGTTTATTCTGATGTCTACATGTATACTTTTGTAGGTGTTAATAAACAGCTGGGTGTTAAAAGCATAGATCAGTTCACTGAAGTCTCACTTTTTTCGCTTCTTTTCCTTTTACTGCCAGTTGTAACAACCTCCATCTTGTCCCATATGTCGTCATCTTCGTCTTCGCTGTCTTCACCTCGTGCTGCTCTTTCAGACGATCTTTTCAAAAGGTCGGCAGTATCACCGCGATCTGTGTGTTTTGTATTCTGCAACAAAAGACAATTTCATATCAAAGGCAGTTGCTGCTGTTTGCCGTGTTCCGTAGCTCAGTCTGAAGAGTCGCTAGAACTACGGTTAAAAAAAATCCAAAGGGTAGGGGTACCAATTTTACGGGGTCAAGTTTTTGCATTATCCAATTGGGTTCTATTCAATTCTTACCCAGCCCTTTAGTCCCTGTTATTTCATCAGAATTCTCAATAGGTTATTTAAGAGTTGGAGGCCAACAATTCAGGTATTGGTTACCATTTCCGATCCTTTTATAATCTTTAATGAAGTCGTAGTGCCAATTATATGACTGAAAAACTGACCAATCAAACCAAGATGTATTACATCAACAAAATTTTTCTTACTTGCCGCTACCTGATAAAGTTTTTGACCCCTAGGAGCTAAGACCCACAACAGTGCCTCTCGAAACTAACCAAATCGCACGATCACACAACACGAAAAATGATATACCTAAGCCAGTTTTAAACCAATGATCAACGACAACGATTTAGACACACGATTGGAGAAACAATGACACCTAGATATTGACAATCCATGAGCGATGAGACCCAACGACTTCATGGGAAAAGTTCGCACAGATATAAAATAAATGATTTACTGTATTAATTATTCAATTTTTTTTTTAAGCGCATTTCGACTGAGTGTCGTAAAACATAAACCAAACTGATCACAACAACCAATCAGAATTAAAGGACATCAAAAAGGGGCCAATAGGAATATAAAGTAAAAACAAGTAAATTGCTTGATGCGCGGGAAAACGCGCTGAACCAAGACGCGATTGGGGAAGGTTTAAATGTAATTAATCGTCCATAACAAACGCTTCTAAGGTGTCAACGTTTTTGTAATTGAGTGTATAATGAAATGGTTTTACTAGGAACCTGTTTTTCTATCTCCTTGGCTGAAATCAATAAGCAATTAAGGACAGATTTCAAGTATATCTGCAATCAAAAAGATAATAAAGAGGTAAATAGTGATAAATCAGACAACATTTGTGAAAAAGCCGTGGCATGCCCACACCAAATGCTAAGTCGTAACATTACTGCTACGTGTACACTCGACGACAGTGATCTGAGGATTGAACCCTTAACAGTAACAAACTTTCGTGCCAAAACTTGCAGAACAAACTACAAATAAAAATGTTTTAAAATAGAGACTTAAAAGGTGACGTACTAGACACCATGAAACCAAAAATAATGTTACGGGACGATTGCAAGTAAGGTAAACCTGATACACCTCCAGGAGAGAAAATCTTATTGCATGTCAATGAAAGTAAACAAACCATAGTTCTTGAAGCAGAGAGGCAAAAAAGAGAGACATAAACGGAGCTCTTTTCTATAGTTAAAAGAGTAAACCAAAAACCTCTCACTATTGGCGTTTAACAAGCTCAATTTCCAAAAAAAATGAATGAATAAATACATACAAGAAAAGAAAAATTCTAAATCCTTAAAAAAACTTCTCGGCAAACATAGAAAAGGCCACAGATCGCAAATTGCAAACCGCCAAAATAAACTGTGCATTTTTCGTCACTACTAAAGCTAAGAATTTGCCAGGAACATGATAAGCCTACCTTATGAAGAAGTTTTCTTTTATGGAGATGATGAACGCGAAGAAACTTATCGAGTCCACAAGAAACTACCATTTGCTGTTTATCAAGACACGAAATACAGCGAATTCCACCTGCAAAACCTTTAAAATGACCCTTAAGTTGACCTGGAATGAACAAATTGGTTTCATATCAAACGATGCAACATTTTTCTTGATAAGACATCGACAATTAATTCTTGAGTGCCTGTCCTCATCTAAATCCTTACTCCCAAACCCGTGTACAGCAACGAGTGAATATTGTTCGAATCATTTCGGTAGTAAGTAACTGAGTATATCGTCACGCAACCGCTCTGGAGAAAAGCGCGGACAGCAGAGAGGGATAAGAGCTCAAAACGAAATGGGAAGAGTTGAAAAGATAATAGAAAGAGAATGAGTCCAAAATCATTGTTCCATCAATAGCCTTTTTAAATATTTCTTTTAATGATGAAAAGGAATTGGAAGACAAAAATTGAAAACTTGAGAATTAAATATTGATACTCCACACTCATTGTGGTTAGTGCACTCAGGAGTCAGGAGCTCATGCAGGAGCCCATTACTAATGTAAATTAATGGGCTCCTGGTGCACTAGACTCCGGGTCAAGAAGTCTGGGCCATGACCCGACTGGATCAGTGTGTTGTGTTTTTGGGTAGAACACGCAGTTTAGTCGCACAGTGCCTCTTTTTACCCCAGAGTATAAATGGGTTTCCGGCGAATTGTCAGGGAAATCTGATGAAATGCTGGGGAGAAGAGGAGGATAACATTTGGGTGAAAATATAGCAGTTTTCCACTAAGGTCCGAAAATCTAACACCAAAGTAACCACAGCCTCCAAACAGAACAAGGTAACCAATGAGAACTCAAAGTAAAACAGGCAACCTGCTTAAAGTGCGGGAAAACGCGAGTGACCGAATGGAGATTGGTTTTAGTTTTGTATTTGATTGGTTGAGATTGTGGCATAGGTTTTCTGGACCAATCACAGAGCAAAGTAAAGCAAAACCAAAGCAATCCAGGATCACCTTTGAAACTCAATTGAAAATAGCTCTAGGATAATTGGAATTACCTCAAGTGGTAACGATCACCTGTTATAACCACATCAGTGAAGCAAATACATAGTGTAACATACCTTCACGTAGAAATTAGTTAAAATTTTAAACCCCAATTGTTCTCACCCTTTCTCAGGTCAATGCTTCCCATTGTTCCAACTGTATTCCCCACAATAACAACACTGATGGGTAAAGAACAAAGAAAACAAGATTAATCTTTTCTTTACCACAATGATGTTCTCTTCAGCATTAAAAATAAAGGCACGAGTAATAACATCATTGCCACAAAAGAGATTATGGTAAAGTGGTATTATCTTAAACTAGAGATGTCTTAAACTTGAGAACAATTCCTTGACTTGTGAAGGTTAATGACTGAAAAAGCCACGTTCTTAACCCTTTACACCCCAACATCAGTATCCCAAGTCTCCATACTCTTCTCTATACATTTCCTTTAGCACTGACAAGGAGAATTTGTTTAGCAATCAAAGCTTCTTTGGTTGGTGATCATTCCCTTTATTCTCATGATCTTAATGAATGATTCAGTTGTCTTACTGTAAGGAGAAATTAGATGCTGTATTAGATGTATGTATAACAACAGTAGATTAGATTTAAAAATTGACCTATCTGGCCTGAAACTTCTGATTGATGATGCAGTTATCTTTACAATCAACAGTGGCTGGAGGTCCCCTTTGTATAAAAAATTTAAAATCCCCACACTTAGAGGTAAAGACAAAAAAATAAGTCTTACTTTTCATCATCTGTCACAGCTAATGCTGAGATTGGAGACTCTCCAAAGTCAAAGCTAAGTACTGGACGTCGCTGTGCCTTGGTGTCATAGAGTCGCACCTGATGATATCCTGTTCCAACTACAACCTTGGAATGTGATCCTTGACTGGGAAGAAAGCCAAGGTCACACACCCAGATGGGAACTTGAAGGTCCAGGAAGTCATTTGGCACCTGAAGGAAAAGTTGGAAAGTTCCCAGGATTACTTGGACAATATGGAATTCCATTTAATAAATCGAAGATCACAGAAATACACTGTAAATGCATATTCATGAGCTTTTTATTTATGGTTTCTTGGATTTGCTGGGTTTGTTATTCAGAAGTAAAACATTTTCAATGGACCATCAAAGTGATTTGAGATTGTACTCATTTGGTTTTGCTGCACCACACTATGGGGTATAGAAAATCTTTCAAAGAGCGAAGAAAACATCAATGTGTGCACTTGTGTGTGTGTGTGTGTGAAAAGTCTAAATAATTATTTGCTTACTAGTTACAAATGATTATACATGTAAATATCCATTTAAATGATGAGAAAAACTTGACAGTGATTGCTCCCCAATTGACAAGGACTCTGATGCTTCTGCTTGGCACCTCAATTATCATTTGCCACAAAAACAATGCATGGCCATGGTCAATGACTGCAACCTAAATTGCCAATAATTCTGTGACATATGGTAACAAAAACATTAAAAAGTGAAGAAAAAGGTGTAAAGTACATTCTTAGCTCTGAAAGTTGGCTCCCCAGGTCTGTTCAGGTCCCAGAGTTTCAAGTCGTTTTTCTGTCCACCTGTCCCTACTTGAGATGGACACAGAGAGTTTTGCCGCACAGCAGACACATGGCTTCCAACTTTAATGTCTATCTAATAAAATAGTTAAAAAGGTTTTTTAATTACTATTATAATACTGGTTTTAAAATAACTACTGTTGGCAAGCATAAGTCATTGCTTAGTGGCAGGAAAGGGGCAGTAAGGCGAAACAGCAAGAGGTCTTATGGGTGGCAGTAGACCACTGGTAACTGGCTTTAAATGAAACCCCTACTATGCTATACACGTGTAACAATTCATGTATAAATTTTGGTCTCAGGCCAAAAATTCAGTACTCTATCTAAGCAGTACTAATAAAAGCTATAACAAAATGCACACAGAACTTGAGAGCCACTCTACACAATCTCTTTCTATTCACATTGTCTTACAAAATGAAAGCGTTTCAACATATTACTGATCAAAACAAAAACAGATAAAAATAGTAAAATAATTATATCCTTGTTTTTTTTTTAAGTAATATTTTTAAGCAAAGCATCAGTGTTCTATGACAGAGTATAATTATAACAACTTGAACCATTTGTACCTTAATTGGAAAACTAAACACTTACAGAATTTTCATGATCTTTCCATATCTGCAACAATCCTGAATCCACACAAGAAACAATGGCACTGCAATTAACACAATCAAAGCATTAGTACAAAATGTAAACATATAAAAAAATAGCATTACCACTGCATGAATTCTTAATAATAATAAAATATTAAATATCATCTACACTTACATGTACATGCTGACAGGTTAAATTGGAAATCAGGTTCAAATTATTTCATCCTTAGTTGATTTGTATTTTCTTTGTTTAAGATTTGTGGTACTTGATCTCAAATCACTTCACACTTTCACACTTTCATTTTACTTTCTTTTCTATATACGCGATATTCTGTGACCAGATACTAGTTAAGGCGATTTAATTTTTTTCTTAACTAAATTAGATAAACTTAATTATATTACACAGCAAATAATACAGAAGTGAAGAAATAAAACACACAAAAACATTTAAGGATACATAAGGAAAGAAAAAAAAGGAAAATGAAAGACGTTCATCGTAAAGGAGAAAAGTCCTAGAATTTCTAGGTGTACAAAAAATATTGTAGAACTGGTTCAATTTGTTTTAAATTTGCTCTGTTTGAATTTTAGCATCATCTCATCAGTCTCCATACTGGAATATTCAGTCTTCAAAATATTGAAGAGAAGTCTTATTGTTTCCTTTTTTGAAGCATTTCTTCAACAAATTTTATATTCATTAGGTATCTCATTCCAGATTTTGACACTAACATCTGAAGAGGCCTTCCTTTGCATTTTTAGCCTAGAGTACTTAACACTAAAGAGTTGTGACTGTGACAAGCAGGTGGTATGGGTATGGATGCTTGGCCTTCTTGTAAAAAGTTTCATGATGTTAGAAGGTGCACTGTCTTTATAAACATAGAGCATTAATTTACATACAGCTTCATAATATAAGATTGTAATAGGTAGACATTTTGCCTTTACAAATAAGGGATTGCATGTTTTTTTCTATCAATAAAGTAGATTTTAAAAATGTAATACTTCTTTTTGGAGAATAACAATTTTGTTTAGATAGTTTTTAGACACATTACCCCAAGCAATGAGTCCATATATTAAATAAGGTAAAATTAAGAATTCATAAATCATTATAAGAACAGATGATGGAACAAAGTATCTCAGTTTAGCAATTATTCCTATGGTCTTACTCATCTTTGTGATAACATAGTCAACTTGGTTTTTCTAAGAAAGAATTCCATTGATTAAAAAACATCTAAATACTTGAATGATGTAACTCTTATGTTCTAAACTGACTCTTTGTTTCACTATCAAATATACTTATTTTGTGAAGTCAATTTATTTGTTGTTTGCCAGTCATGTAAATAGTTCTGTTCAGCATTGACTGTCTGTTCTAAAGACTTGAGGCCAGTTCAGCATTGACCATCTGTTCTAAAGACTTGAGGCCCTTACTAAATCAGAAAAATTAAATTTTTACTGAAACAGAGCTACAGAGCTATCACTTATATAAAGTAAAAAGAGGAGTGGTCCTGAAACCAAACCCTGAGGGACACCACAGGGAGAAATTAGTTTAGTTGATAAGTGTGATTTAGTTTGAGTTGGTTGCATTTGAATCACTTGTTGATAATCCCTCAAAAACCATAAAAATGAAGGCTATCAAGTAATATTTTGTGACTGACATTGTCAAAAAACTTTTTTAAATCAATAAAAACACCACACCAAAAATAATGCTTATCCATATTGTTCTGTAAAGTTGTGACAGTATCACAGATTGCATGATCTGAAGAGTGAGCCTTAGGGAAGCCATACTGTGAGGCATGTGTTGTCTTCTTTTTGTCAATAAAGTCCTTTATTCTTACATAAAAAGAGAACTATCACGTGCAGGAATTTCTTTAGTTTTTGTGAAACAATCATTGCAATGCACCTCCATACCAATATACATCTTGTACATATGTACTAGTAACAAAAAGTTATTTCCAAATAGAATTTAATTCCCTTTCCCAGGCAAATCTATGGTCACCATTCCTATTCTTGGGTAGGGTAGGGCATTATAGTGATTTAAAAAGTGTCTTGGCCAGGAACAAAATACATTGATACTCCCCTAGACTTAAACATGGACCTCTTCAAACTTGAGTCAAGCAAATGTACCTGTAGCTTCAGAAGGTTACCTAAGTGGCTAAGCGAACAATTCAAATGCACATAGAATGCCAAGTGATCTTTGTTAATTTTAGATGATAGTGCTAAGATGTAATTTTGCTTTATAGAAATAGCGGTTGAGGTTGTGTGTGTGTGTGGTTCGAACTAGAAGAAAATACAACAGAAACCAAACTAAGATAAAATGTGTTGCAAAATGTAACATTAGCCTAACTAAAAACGAAGCAATCGCACTGAAAACTGAATACAAAAACTACACCAATAATACATACAAAAGGTAAACAATGTAAATGCAAAAGAAATAAAGACTTACTTTGGTCTAGCTCCTAATGGTAGCAAATAGCTTGTAGCAATTATCTAACAGTGATGATTTAGTAGCAATGATTTAGCAGCTATAATTTAGTAGCAATGATTGAAGTGGAATCTTTACACATGTACTTAAATGGGAATTGATTGGAGAAGATAACAAACTTATTGTGTAATAATCATTAACTAATGAAAGACTTATTAATAGAAATGAACCAGTACAAAAACGATAATAAAGTATGTACTAACTAAGTGTTTCAAAACTAACAGTACCCACCATATCCACTAACAGTACAATACACAATGTACCTGTTCCACTTGAACAGTCCTTTCAACTTTCCTTTTCCCACAGGATGACTCCATTCACTGACAAATTCCTTCTTTGTTACATCAAAGGTCTTGACAATACCATTTGCTGATCCTAATAGGATCTGCCAGAAGAGTGGAATTTATATCATATTCCATTACATTATGCAATCTTGTGTCTTAAACTTTGACCAAAATAACCACAATGAATAATTCAGTCAACTCCCATGGTGTGACAATCTTCATTAACAGCTGCAAGGTGTGAAGCAAATAATACCTGATTTTCATTGTCATCATTCCAGGACATGGAACATATTTCATGGTTTCTACTTGAATTTTCCCCAACGCTGTGATTTGTGAATGACGACTTTTTGAGATCAACTCCTGAAAAGTAATGAAACAACTATCAGCATGAACCCAAAAATCCTCTGGTGGTTAAAGAAGGCAAAATGTAGCAAAGATACATTTCTAAGTTGTTTTCATAAATTTACCATTGCTGAACAAATGTAATTCTAATATAAAAAGTGCTAATCCTTCCAAAGCTTAACTCACCTTGCATACAAGTAATCATAGTGTTGCACTATGTAATTGTCAGCTTCGCACTCATGCAGCGTGCACAACTATGCAATAAGTATAAACATGAGCACCGCACTTTGTATAAATTGTAATGATTTTGTGATGAATAAAGGTTGTCAGTTTTTAACATGGAACTGAGCAAGTAACTTGGTGGCAGTGGTGGGATTTATTCCACACCTCCAAAGAGACCACTATGACTCTACTATTCCCATAACTCTATGAGTGGATGCATCTGAAGATGCAATTGGAGGCACACTGTTACAAAACAATTAGCCTGTTTGCTTCACATCACACACACCGAAAAGCATCGTGAAGAATTGCACTCAAATTGAAAAGAAGTGTCTTGCAATTGTCTCTTGCATGGAAAAGTGGCACTAGTACTTGTACAGAAGACACAACATCACAGTACATACAGATAATCAACCACTCGAGACAATCTTCAAGAAGACTCTCTGTAAAGCCCCTCAACAACTGCAGCAAATGATGCTCAAGCTACAAAGACATCAATTTTCAGTTCAATATAAGAAAGGAAAGGAACTTTACATTCCCAATACTTTGTCTCACGCTCCTGTCACTAATCATCCTTCAACAACCAGTGCTAGGAAAGAATTTGAAGTGTTCCCAATGGAATTAGCTGAGATGGATATTGAAACCATGCAATGAATCAAACATGAGACCACTAAAAATCCAATCCTAGTATCCCTGTGTCATTTAATAACTAGTGGGTGGCCTGCAGAAAGAAAGGAAAAGCTGAAGCAACTAAGGCGGTATAGGAGTTTCAGAGATGAAATTTCTGTTTACAATGGAGTATCCTATCAATCTCACTAAGCTATTGTCCCTTCTTCATTACCAGAAGAGATATTGCAGAAAATACACAGAGTGCACCAAGGGGCCAATAGCAGTATAAGAAGAGCATGTGAGTCTCTTTTCTGGCCTGGAAAGCAAGCAGCAATCAAGGAATAATACCCTTCACGTGGTCTTTGTGCCCAATACTTTAGCAAGCAACCACAAGAACCAATGAAATCTCACACAATACCAACCAGACTATGGTCAAAAATAAGTGCAGACCTCTTCCAATTAAACAGAAATAACTACCTTGCAATGGTCGACCATTACAGTGATTACATTGAACTTGATTCCCTCAGCAGAAACACCACAGCTAACTCAGTGATCAGATCAATAAAGTAACAGTTTGCTTGCCATGAGATCCCAGATGAGTTGATGATAGACAATGGCCCGCAATTCAAAATTCACAAATACTTAAGATTTGCTCAAGAATATGGTTTCACCATAGTCAAATCATCACCTTACTACAGCCAGGGAAATGGGAAAGCAGAGTCAGCAGTCAAAATTGCCAAGAACATCCTAAAGAAATCTCAAAAAGAGGATCTTTATCTGGCTCTCCTAGAAACACACCTCAACAGGGTACAGAAACACACCTCAACAGGGTTACAACTCACCCCTCAGGCAGCATCCCCAAGTCTGGTGTATGAAAACATTGCAGAAAGAAGGTGAAGATCAATGGCTCAGTACAACAAGAGGGTCTCACAGCCCCTTAGAGAGTTTTCAAAGGAGGAAAAAGTGTTCCTGAAACCAAGGCCTGCAAATAAGCACCAATTTTGGATATATGGTAAAGTTATTGGAAGTACTGCACCAAGGTCTTATATTGTTAACACCTCGATGGGACCAGTTCAGAGGAATCACACACAGATTAGAGAGGCAAAGGTTGAACCAGAGAAGAAATATGAAAGAGCAGATGACCACCTGGAAATTGTATCCCTGCCTGAAAGCAAGCCTACACACAGAGATCAACCAGTAGAGCCTTCTCCTGAGAGAGAACAAGGGCCTATATCCACATTACACTGTTCAATGAGACAACAAAGGCCTCCCCCAAGATTTAGGGACTTTGTTATGGAGTAAAATTATTGTGCTATCAAAATCAAATTGTGCTATCCTTAACTTTCATTTTTCAAAAGAGGAAAGGTGTTGCACCATGTAATTGTCACCTTCGCACATACACAGCATGAACAAATATGAAATTAGCATAAGGACGAGCACCGCACTTTGTATAAATTATAATGATTTCGTAGTGAATAAAGGTTGTCAGTTTTAACATGAAACTGAGCAAGTAACAATAGCACCATTTGCTTCTCAACTTTTTTTTTACCCCTTTAAAGGAACTTAATTTACAAACCCTAGATTTTCAACAATTTTCTTGTGAATATAGACAGCCAATTATCTCACTTAAAGCTGTTTCTTGCCGCATTGTTAATCTCTCGCAACTACAGGAATGAATGTTTGTACTTCTTCCGCTGGCTGAACCTTAGGATTTTGTTGTATATCCATTTTTAATTCTTATACACTGTCTATTTGACACTAAATCAAGTTCATTGGCAGAATTTCTGTACCATTCACACGTGCGATGGGAGAAAAAATTTTAAGAGTGATGTGTTCCAATGGTCACACGTGCGGAGACCAAGCGAACCGTCTTAATTATATACACGACAAAAAAAAACCGGGTGGTTACTGCTGCTTTCATTTCAATTCCTTGAATATATTCTGCATTGTAAAGGGAGCTTTCAATCACAGTCCTAATGATCTTACCTTTCAAAACTCCAATTTCACCTCCAACCCAGACGTCCGCCATGTTTAAAACTCACGGATCGGAGATCTGAGAACTAGCAAAGCCCGAAAAGACTACTCAGTAGAGCCAGGTCTTCTCATATGCATTTGCGCCTGCCAGAAAACGTTTGGCGTTGTACTGAGCGAGATTCACCGAGGAAAGTCTCTTGTCTGTATTTTTTTTGCTTTGCTTTCTTCTCGATGTCGCGAAGAATATGATGGTGACTGTCTCGAAAGTGATCACATCTGTCATTTTCTTTGCAATACTAGGATGTGCTGTCAATGAAAGAGAGAACAAATCTTCAAAGAAGACATGGCTTAAGTTTGGATCAAAAACCCGGTATCAACGGAAAGAGATCCCATTTGAAGCGCCCATAGGTTGCGATCCTCTTCACATCAGCATGGTCATAAGACATGGGACGCGCTATCCTAGCAAAAAGGACGTGAAAAAAATTGAAAAAATGCTTGATGTGATCAACGAGGAGATCGATTCAAACTGGTCTGTTGGAGACCTACATCTTCCTTGGAAAAATCCCTTTTCTCTTGATCATGACAAACTTTTGGCATCCGCTGGAGAAGAAGAATTGTATTCTCTCGCCAAAGAATTTCTGAAACGTTTTCCAAGCTTGCTATCGCACCCGTATCATCCGCATAACTTCGATTTCATCAGTACGGGAACTTCCAGAACAGTACAGAGTGCTATGGCTTTTGCGTTTGGTTTGTTCGAGGGGCGAGGTAGGCTGGGTGCGAGTGGTTTTCAACCTGTGGCAGTCGAGTCGAAAGAAACTAACAACGATCATTTACTTCGCTTTTTTGATGTATGCCCAATGTACAATGTGAAAGTTGCAGATAACGACACTGCACTTCATGAGCACAAAAAGTTTAAACGTGGTATAAAAATGGAACGTATTGGTCATAAAATACAACGGCTCATGACAAAGCGTCCTGATAATCCCCAGACAACTTTCACAGCAGAAACTATTATTGGAATGTACACTGCTTGCATTTTTGAGGTTGCAATCTTTAACAGAGAAAATACTTGGTGCCTCCTTTTTGACAAGGAAGATTTCTTGACTCTAGAGTACTTATCAGACTTGAAACATTATTGGAAGAGAGGCTATGGATACCCAATAACCTATCAAATTGGATGCCCTTTATTAGGAAACATTGTAAGCAGCCTTAAAAATGCAACAGATCCATCTTCAAGTGAGAAAAAGTATGGCAATTTTATGTTTGCCCATAGTGAGACTCTACAACCTCTTTATGCCTTGCTTGGATTATTCAAAGATCAGGAGAAACTGAGAGCTGGCAACATGAATGTGCACTCTGGGCGCAAATACAGAACCAGTGAAATTGTGCCATTTGGAGCAAACATTGCATTTGTTGTATACAGTTGCAATGCAGATGATAACTCTTGTGGTAAGGAATCAGATAGTTACAAAATGGGGCCTTTCAAAATCCAAGTATTTGTTAATGAAGAGTTGGTAGCTTTGCCTTGTTGTGGTGAACAGAGAGAGTGCCCCCTAGAGACATTTTTGCAGTGTTTTGACACTAAACAAAACGGGTCATGTAACCTGTCATCATTATGCAGCTTGGAAAGCAACAGTGCTGAAAACTATCATGGGGAATTGTGACCAGGATTATAACTATTTATAAAACTTCATGTATGTAAACTGCGCAGATTCACAGCAGCAACATTTTACTGCAATTGATTCTTTACAACCTGAGTCATCCATGGCAAAAAAAAGTTGTCAGTAGAGAGAGGCAGCTGGAAAAAATTGGATCCAGAGAAGTTGTTACAGAAAGTTGCCCTGAAAATAATTTCATGGTCACCACCTGTAATGAACTGGACTGTCATTAAAACAATACTGCTTCACAAGGATTACTAATTCAGGGAAGCAAAGACACTCTGAATGTGATGTTCATGTTGCCAGTTATTCAGGCCCAAGTATTTTTTCTAATGGCTAACCTGCTGAACTCCAGAACACAAGGTTGGTCACTAGTAATTGTTTTTGAGCTACATACTTCACTTACACAACATGTTCCTGTGTGTGTGATTTGTTTAATAAAATACTAGTGTTGAAAATATTGTATTTCTACTTCCTTGCACTCTTGGGAAATTCAATAAAATTTGTAACAATGAATTGTCAATTATTTAATAAACTGTTGACTTCGTTGATTTGCATCAGGTTGATTATATTTTCATCCAATGAAAAATTGTTCAAGTTTTTTGTCTTTTTAAATTTATTACTGCAATATATTAAATTTTCAAAATTATCTGAAGGTGATTTTTCCCTCAAACATGTGAGAATTAAAATTAACTTCTTTCAACCCTTAAAATGCAGACTGTGGTGATTGACATGAAAATTCTCCTTTTGATTATCAATACACCATCTTGTGAACAGTTGGTGAGAAAAAACCTTAACTCACTAGCTGGAATAAATTTCCCTGATATATCAACAAATTTTTTTATTGATTTACAAGAAAAAGTATCGCAGCTAGAAAGGACAATTAATCAGATCTCAGAATTGAAAGGTTTCATGTTAGCTGTCTGTAATTCCCAAATCTTCCTTAAGCTGCTCTATCATTTCCTGCAGACGACTCTGAAAAAAACAAAATAAATTAATAATATGAAAAATATTCTTGGAATCCCCAAAAATTTCATGGATGTAGATATCCAGGGTAGAATTACTGCAAAGAGCAATTTCCAATTGAGGATCAGAGGTAATGAGTGTATTCTGTTGGTTTTAGCATATCACAACATATACAACCTTTGATTTGGTCAAGAAATTTCATCCAACCATCCTTTCAATTAAAACCAGACACAAAGTTGTAACTCTATAAAGAATAATTAACAATTATATTAATTATTATTAATAGAGAATAATTGGTCATATGTGTTCTCCATTCTCTCTGACATACACCTACTTTGGTTTTTTATGAAATACTCTTTTATGATTGACAGTATAACTAAATTACACAAACTGACCCACACTGTACAAATGTATGGTGTACATATATGTTTGTAATCAATAGTGTTAAAGCTGAAAATATTGATGTGTTCTTACTTCATCCAATTTATCCTTCCTTCTTTCAATGTGCATTTCAAAAACTTGCTTTAGAACCCTAAGTATAGAGCAAAGATTAAATCAAATTAATATGAAACAAAGATACAGTCAAACACTCCTTTTACACAAACTTTAAAAAATTCATTGGGGGATGTATGATACAGAGCTCTTGTGAAGAAGTGTTCTAGCTGAGCCCCATGCAGTCTACAGGCAGAAAACTTAATGCACTGTGCCTGCTTACAAAGAATAACACAAATGCATGGGCACAAATTAATTATGAGTTCAACCTGGTAAACTTTTTATTTAAAACTTGGATTGTGAGGTCAAGTTGTCCAACATATATTCCTGGTACAAGAAAATACAGATTAATGTACTTTAATAAATTATAGTAGAGCATGTATTAGATCTAGTTTTCTGCTCAGTTGCTGGTTGGTCTTGTCACAAAGACATCTTTCCCTTAATGGAGAAGAGTCAGTAGAGATTGTAACACCAAACAGTAGCTGTAAAAGGAAACTTTACAAGACCCTGCTCAATACATGTACAACCTCATATAAAGGAGAGACAACATTCTACCATTGAAGACCAAAGGTTTTAATAACCTGATTCCTAAATATACAACAAGTACAAGAGTGATGTACAAAAATGAATAAATATGCTATTAATATTGTGTAAACAAATAAACACAAAAGATGCACAAAACTGTTTAAACTGAAATTATTCAAATCCCAAGTTTACAGCATGTCACTAAGAGAGTTCTTTGCACAGAGTATTTTATCGCACTGAGTAGTTTTACTACTGTATACAGGTGTACAACACAACCAAAAAATGGTTTGTGAAGTGTATTAAGTTTGCTTTTATTCTGAACAGGATTTTATAGACAACTGAAACAGTACCTATTGCTAAAAATGCCTCTGGCTAGGATGTCAGTGGTAACATCAGAAATGAATTTGAGATACTGTTGTTCCTCTTCCCTGGTAAATAGGATAAACATAAATATGTATTAGAAAATACAATACCTAACTTAATTGTTGCTTACCTTTAAGTTTCCGATAAATGGTACCATGTAAATCAGATTTTTAAAATTAATTATTTATTCAGCAACTTTACACTTTGGAGTATTAAACTACAGCTTACTTTAGTGTAAATGAAAAAAAGGCCTCTTTAAAATCTTCTCCAACACTGAAGGCAAAAGTTCATAAATTTTAAGTCAGTAAACATTTGCTGATTTCAAAAGCACAGCTAGCTGAGTAATTGGTATTAGCATTTCAGAGCATGTACACATAAGTGTTTACATGAGCTGTACAACAAAAAATGTCATTTGTTTTGTCATTAGTGTAAGACAGAGAAAAATACAGTAGGAGCTCTTCAGTAAGGACTAGAACATCAGACCTGCTGGTTGTGTGCTTTGTAACACCGAGCTTTACTTAGAAACTCAGTGGTGAGCCAGGCCAATTATGGTTTTACTACATTCCTTCATGAGAAGTGCTCTGCATAGTCTGAGCAACATCAAAAGCACCATTTAGAGTAAAATAATTATATGCCAGGCTGTGTTTTCCTGGTTCTAAAGCAAATCTCATGTCAGTTTAATTCCTTGGAGTACAAACAATGATACAGAACTTTGCAATGAGAATTTAACAATGCAAGTCAGTAAGAAATCATTAGTGTCTAATTTTTATCCACTGTTTTAATGTCCCTGAATCATTACTCACCACATGTTTGCCTTGAAATCAGGGGACTCTGGAACTGTTCTAATTGATGGAGGACCTCTGTAACTATATTGTACATTTGAGAGGTCAAGGCGTGGAACGTCCTTATGTCTGGTTGTTCTGTCACTGCGTTTAAAGCCATCAAGAAACGTTCTATTTTTATCAAGAGTTCTTGCTAGGTTCTTCTCTCCAGTTCTATTCAACATCATCCCTGGATTCTTGAGATCATATGACTGATTTTCATAACTACTCAGCAGTGTGTCAAAATTTCCATCCAAATTGTTTGATAAACTTTGATCAGATTGGTCAAAATGTTGAAAATTAGTTCTCTGATTCTCTGTATGAAAATGGCCTTTCAGTTCAGTTTTTTGTCTGCTATGTCTTTGTATGGGTGACACCGGTGGTTTGGATTGTATTTTATCAAGCACTGGTGTAGACATTTGACATTCTAATGCTGTATCTCTTGGAGAAGAAGAAGACACTGCAGGAGTACAATCTTGACCAAGGGAGTGCAAAGACAAACTTCTTTGAAGTGGAGTCCCTGTGGTTTGCCTATGGCCTGGAGACTGCCTGTTTCTTGTTGAATTTAAGGGGTATGACTCCTTGTGTGATGAAGATAAGAATTCCAAAGAAGGGGTCTAGAACGAATAAATAAATAATGGGAATTTAGTAATGAACATTCCACCAGCTTGTTCTTCTCGTCCTCTGTTTACAGGTCAAATTGGAATCAGGAATGTTGGTTTTTTGTGGAGGGTGGAAAACCAGAGGATTCAGAGGTAAGTGTAAATAGGTATGCCTCACCTTTACTCTAAGAGATGATGGAGTTCCAGATCTACTTTCCAAAGCAGCCCGCTTTTTTTGGTCACGAGCTTAAAATTACAAAAGGTTACAGAATAAAAAGCTATTACACACTGCATTATAAAATACAAAAGGTGACAAGGAACATTTATCTGGACACTTTAATTACTGTGCCGTCAGTCAGAGTGCACTATTTACTTGTAACAATATCATTTTTAGGATCAAAGCAATAATCAGCTTATTAATCTAACACTTAGCCTACCTTTCATATGCGCTTTCATAGATTTTGGAGGAGATGTATCAACAGCCGCTATAACAAAAGTAGAAATCGGAACATACAACAAATGTTTAAGAAGGTAATTATATAATAAATCTACCAATGATTTTAAAAAAAATTACACAACACTTAGAGTCTGCATCCTTTCTCATCTCTACCAGAAGTCATCTCTCTCAATGAAAGCAGCTGTATATTTTATGCTAGCTTAGCCATTAGCATCCAACCTTTGTGAGACTCAGAAATTGTTAAATTTTAATTTTAAGTAAATTGATTAGTCTCATTACAAATTAAAAAACAATTCAGAAATTGTTGAAGGTTTAAAACAGGAAATTAAAGGTCACCTTTAGCAGACAGGATTCGCCTGTAATGAGATTTCATGTGGTTGGCAATGAAATCCTGCCCCATGTATGACATGGCTGTAGGTGCAAGGGCTACAAAATAAAAACCAAACAGTTAACATGGGATGATAAAACTATCATCTTACTGTTATTTCAAGAAACTTACATAGTGACCCTACCACCAATGCCATAATTATCAGAACCCTTTCAATGCCAGGAGTTACCAAAACTGAATTTCTCCTAAACAATTCATATTGATCATTGTCAGGCAGTGCTTAAGTAAGTGAGAGGGTATGTAAGAAAAATATCTGTAAGAGGAAATTCTATGGTTTAATACCAAATTCTCTGATTGCAAATCACAAGCAATGTACAGCAAAAGAAAGATTGATCTATAAATCTTGGGAGTAAACGAGTGAAAGACACCCTAAAAATGGGATTAATCCAAAGCTTAGCCAGCTTGATTCAAGATGGTCCCATACTGGATTGCACGTGGAAGGTTCTAAGTGATTATTATGTGATTATCCGTCAGTGGATAGTTTCTGTGCATGCATACTATCATTGCTCAGTTTAGCCCACCATACTCTACTTCATAATACACAAGAATTTACAACAGTCAATTTGTTATCACTACGCCATGAAACCATCATCAGCTTCAAAACACAAGCACAATTATAATGCATTAAGCTACTGTAGTATAATATTCAGTCTATGATCTGCACATAATAGTTTTTGAGTGGCTCAAACGAGAAGAGATGTAATCTGCAGCTTTAACTAACTTGCACCACAAAGCGAGTACATTAATGTTAACTTTTCCTGGTTTGTTTACAAATTATTCTACTAAAATGACCCTGCAACATATTTAATTCACACCTTTTGGTTTATAAAGATACTTTTAACTTGATTTTAAAAGACACAACTTTCCTTAAATCAAACAGTTATAAAGATCGCCTGAACTTAAGCTGAAAGTCTACAAACGTACCACTACTCTTCAAGGTGTAGTGGCCATTTCGTAGGCGAGTCGAAGAATTACCTCCCGAGCTCATCTCTGTTTCATTGATAACGATCTTTGAAGTACCCCATGGAAAATCTAGAGCACGTATCTAATTGAAAACAGCCTGGCAAAAACAGGCGATTCAAGATCCAAAAGACGTCTTTTCATTTCTTTGCGAGGAAACAATTCGATATTGATTGTTCCTTATGATCGCGGGCGCTAGTACGCAGATCATTTCCATGGCAACAAGAGCTAACATGACCCTTGCGGTCGAGGCTCCAGGTTAGCGTTATTTATTAAGGATGACAAAAACCATCATTACTCTTCACTATTACATAACCAAAGAGGATTTCTTGTGGCACACTTCAAGGGTAAACCTGCTCGTTTTATCGAAAAAAGCTTCGTGTGATGCCCCGGTATATTTGAAATTATACGCTCGATCGCTACATCCCTCTACGGCTACGCGGTTGTATTTCAGTTACAGTAGTAACAGTGACATGGTAGGGTCTGGGTACGAAATCTATAAGTGCACCAATCAATCATAGAGCTGAGCTAAGGCTGTCACGCCATGTGCCAAATTGTTCTATGTCTGATCATTTCCCAGACTTCTCTCAGGCTTAACTGAAGGTAAAATTTCAGAACAAGCGAGCCGGCAGGTAGCAACAGAAGAACCAAACAAAAGTTTGTAAACATTCCAAGCGCCGTAATTTACGTTATTATAACGTGAGCAGGGACAAAAACCCTCAAAGAGAAAACAAAAGGTCAGTCTGAGGTTTTCTCGCTCCGTTAGATCGCAAGCTTACTTACGGTAATAAAAATCAAACACAGCTAACACTCGTATGGTATGATTAGTTTCGTGTTTAAAAACAAAAAAGAACAAAATGTGAATGATGAAAAATATGTGTCAGAGCGACTGTGATCAAGCTGAGGTCCATCGCGGCTAGATCATCATTGCGATCTCTGGTCATTGCTATGAAGCATGTCTCATAGATTACATCGGTCGCCCTTCGACTGAACAACTAGTTATAAGAGCTTGCTATGATATCCTTTCCGATGCGTTGAGTGGAAGGCCTCATCAGTCACAGCATCCGAGTTTTACGGCGCTGTCATTCCGAGCAATCTTCATGTCCCTGTGAATGCGGCTGTCGTTCATTCATAAAACACACGCCTTTAGCAGTTTGTTTTCTACTTGTCACGTGAACAGATCTTGCCTGATTTTATGAGCCATAATTAAATAGGATTTCACTGAACATTTCACTTTCAGATTCTGTGTTAGAGACTAAAAAAACTTCAGGTAAAAGTGTCAAATTCGACCTGCCGAACTATTTCAGTTTAAAGATTGTGAACTTTGTTGCCGGATTGTTATTTTTGACAGCTTTGGTCTTGTTTCACCAATCAGATTATTTGAACCATTATAACAACGATTCTGATAGACTTATTGTAGCATGCTTTATGAGAGTACAGAGCAAGCTGACGACTCTGTTGTTTGCTTTGGAAAAAGAGGTATCTTTTTAAAATTGAAAATAATGCGTGGGGAATTTAACGGATTCTTTATTTTAAAGCAAATAGAGAAGCCTTGATTGTGCTCTGTTTTGTTGTAAAGCATACAGGAAGCAGTTAGAGCACTCAAGAAGCAACGTGAACAGCTCTTAATTCGTTTTGAAATGAAAAGCTCGTTATTAGTTTTGAATGGTTGTCAGCTCCCTGTAGGTAAAATACTAAGTAGATACTTAAATCTTGAGAAGAGCTTTTTAAAGTAATTGTCATAGTACTAGCACTCCCACAGGTCAACTGGTGAGTTCAGTGAGAGCATGTAAACATAGTTGTGACGTCACGCTTCTGAGTTTGCCGGCACTATTTGAAGACATTCAAACTCAAAGCTTATTCAAGTATCGAAAAGTAATTTCAAGTTTAATTATTGCTTAAAAATCAACGCGATTTAAAAAGACAACGGCAAAAAATTCAATTTCACACTGAGCAAACGAACGACAAATCTACGATGTACACAATGTACATGCAATATCAAAATTTGACCCTCTTGGATTGGTCTTCAGTTTCCGTGTTCTTGGCCGATGTCACCCTGATTTAATTATGCTTTTTACTTTTGTTTCAAAGCTGTCAAAAAATTGGGACGTATCGAGAATTAAGGCCAAAAAGAGTAGAGATTAATGAGACGCCCGGTCAATGTAGCAGATATCAGACTAACAAAAGACGTTAACAAGCTTTTATTTCCCATGACAAGAGCGACTGGTAATCTCGAGAACACCTGTGTTGGCTCTCACTCTTTACATCAAAAAATAAAAAAAAAACTATTTTCCTTTCATGAATTTGTATTAATCAACCAATAAGAGTCAAAAAGGGCATATTACAGACGATTTCAATACCAAAATAAAAAATAACAAAAGGTTTTGAGACACCCATTCATAAAACGAAATTTATATTTCACTAAGTAGTTAAGGTTACCAGACGCTTGCTTAAGTCATGGTATTGGGTCTCGACGGGTAAAAACGTATCAGAGCATTGATTTCTTGATGATCAAAAAGTGAAAAATGCAATTGTGGTTTTGGATTCTTGGCTGGCTTCTTTCGATTCTCGCCATGACTGGAAATGGATTTATCATCTTCCTTGTTTGTAGCAAACGGCAGCTTCGCACCAAAACCAATGCGTTTATTGTTTCGCTTGCAGTGGCTGACTTCTGTGTCGGGATGATTACTGTTCCTTCGTTGTTTGTGTGTGAGTCGCTTGATCTGTGCAACAATCGACCTATTTCGATGGTGGTATGGATGATAAGGAATCTGTTCGCTTTTGCGTCTGTGGCAAACCTTTGTAGTTTAGTCTTGGATCGCTACATTGCTATTGTGAAACCTTTAAAATACTTGACTATTATGAAGCGTCGTCGAGTCATTCAGATGGTTATCTTATCCTGGGTAGTTCCAACCGCTATCATGACTTTTGCGGCAAATGTTATATTGAATACTTCCTTTTCACAAAATTTAAACATCCCTAAAAATACTTTATCCGTGATGTTTATCAGTTTCGAGATATTTTCAAGTTTTGTATTAATATGTGTCTTTACATCCATGTTAAAAGTTGTATTTAAGCATAATCGAGCCACTCGTTCGTTAGCAAAACAGTTACGCTTTAATCATCAGGTTTCCTTCAAAACTCAGGAAAAGTCTGCCATTATAATGATGGGGATTGTAGTCGGATTGTTCCTGATGTGTTATGGTAGTTTTATGAGATGCAGCTTAATAAGGATTTCTGGTATTGTTAAAGCATGTAATGATAGAGAATATAGAATAATCCTTCTAGGGTTAAACTCTGCTACCAACCCTTTGGCGTATTCTTTCTTCAAGAGAGATATAAAAAAGGACATTAAAAGACGCTTTTGTTGTCCCGTTTCATCGAAGTCTAAAAAGATTATTCCTCTCAATAAGAGCAGTTTTTCATCATCGCTGACTGCCATGGACGGGAAGTTAGAGTAAATGAAATAGGCGTGGACTTTTATCCTGGAACTTCTTTGTCTTAAATGTAAACGGAAGAGGATACTATAGGGATAAGCATATTTATTGTTGGCTTTGTAGTCTGTTAGATTCAAAACTAATGTAAATGATGAACAAGAAACTTAGTAAACGCATAGTTAAGTTGAATGTACTACAGATTTACTGGGAAGTTAACTTATAACTTGGAATCTGTTAATTTGAAAAAAAAATTCCTGTGTAGAATATAACGATGTATTTACATAAAAAATGTAACGCGTAGTACGAAACTGATTTCCTTATGTGATTCTAAATTTTGAAAATCCGAATTCCGATTTCGATTACTCTTTTCAGTAATGGATTTATCTTTTAATACAAACAATTGAGCTTTTCCGCGTGCACTCCCCGTTGTGTTTGTTTACGGACGTGATTGAAAGTTTAGCCCCAACTACCATTGCGATTTCGCCCCCAAACGTAAACAAAAATTCGCCCTGACCTTTACCAGTTCGCCTCCAAATCATCAAACCAGTAACCGATGGAAAAACATATTTATTTTCTGTCGAATTCGGGACACGTTTCTATAACATGAATTTTTTTCTTAGTCAAACGCTCACGCTGAGTTGCTATGAAACACTAGATTCAGCGACACACGAGTGCGAGTATTGAATTACGAGATATCGTCCTTGGTCTTTGATTCAGAATAATCGTTAGCTCCTAAAGGAGTTTTCACAACTTCATTAAACAATAATGCCCCTCATCTTCCTTTAACAACAAATCAAGAACTCTTGGCGATGTTCACAGGTTTTTAAAAAGTGTCAGCCGTAATATACAATCATTGGCATATCACAACCGATCTAATAACACTTTTTACTTTATTTCAAAGATGTATAAAAAACTGGAGTGTGTCAAGAATTAAGGCCAAAAAAGTGGAAATAAATGAGCCACTCAGTCATTGAGGCAAATATCAAAACTAACAAAAGACGTTAATTTTCAGAAGCTTTTCGGTTGATTAGTAATATTGATCTAGAACTCTTGTCTTAGTTCATTCATTGCATCTAAAAATCTAGAATATTTTCCTGTCATGAAGTTGTGTTAATTGCCCAATGAGAATCAAAAAAGGGTGAGTTTTTTCGGTCGATTTCAATACCAAGATTAAAATAACAAAAGGTTTGGAGAGACCCACCTTACAGCGCAATTTATATATCATGAAATCTTAAAGATTACCAGCAGATCTTGTCTTAGTCAGAACGTTGTGTCTGTTTTGAAGGATAAAAACAAATCGGAACATTAATTGCTTAATAACCAGAGAGTAAAAATGCAAGTCTGGTTTTGGATTCTTGGCTGGCTTCTTTCTATTCTAACCATAACCGGCAATGGATTTATCTTTTTCCTTATTTGCAGTAAACGGCAGCTTCGCACCAAAACCAACGCGTTAATCGTTTCACTCGCAGTGGCGGACTTTTGTGTTGGGATGAGCGCTGTTCCTCCGCTGTTCATGTGTGAGATGGCAGGAAGTTGTAATCATTTGGGTACCATGGTAATCACATGGACGACAAAAAGCCTATTCCAGTATGCGTCTGTGACCAACCTTTGCTGTTTAGTCCTGGATCGCTACATTGCTGTTGTAAAACCGTTAAAATACTTGACCTTTATGAAGCGTCGCCGAGTCATTCAGATGGTAACCTTATCATGGGTCATTCCAATTGTTCTCATTTTCTTTACATACATCGTATTGAGTATTTCCTTTTTCCAAAAATCGATTCTCCCCATAAAGGTTATAACTGTTATGTTCATCAGTCTCGAGATGTTTCCAAGTATGTTATTGATATGTTTCTTTGTAGCTATGTTAAAACTCGTATTTAAGCATAATCGAGCCGCTCGTTTTCTAGCAAAACAGTTACGCTTCAATCATCAGGTTTTCTTCAAAACTCAGGAGAAGTCTGCTATTATAATGATGGGGATTGTAATCGGATTGTTCCTTGTGTGTTATGGCATTTTTCTACGATGCAGCTTCACGGTAGTTTCCGATATGGATACATCATGTAATGATACACAATTTAAAATGCCCCTTTTAGTGTTAAACTCTGCCATCAACCCTCTAGCGTACTCTTTCTTCAAGAGAGACATAAAAAAGGAGATTAAAGGACACTTTTGTTGCTCCGTGTCATCAAAGTCAAACAGAATTCATCCTTTAAATGAGAACAGCTCCGCATGAGTTAATGTAAACGAGTAAGTCGTAACCTTTTATTGTAGGACTTTTTGTTATAAATGTAAATGGCGGCAGAATAAATGATTGCCAAGAATTAATATATTCAATTTAGCAGTTATAAGAAACAAATACAGAATAAGATTTAGCATTTACCAAATGTAGAAAACTAAAGGTCGCTCTTCGATCGTTCATCTTCAGAAAACATCTGTTTAAACTTCCTCTGAAAAGGAAGGATCCATTTTCAGGCTTTGGTGTCAAAATTAAAAAGGTTTTCGGTTTCTCAAAAACCCTCATGCGCGTCGGTGAGTAAATAAAAAACAACTTGGTAGTAAATTGATAACGCTATCAAATTAGCTTGATAACGCTGTTTGTATTTAGTGGTTTTTTTGCTCAGACTGAGGGATGACACTCAAAATGACAACCTTAAAAAAATGAATGACAGATGTTAAACTACCTTGATCTACTTTTTTTTGATCATCACCTCATTGTTTGTAAATCAACTTAGCTAAGTAGCTGATGAAAGACGGTATCTTCAAACAGAGTAAGTGTTAACTCTACCTCAAATAACAACTTATGCGAGTAGCATTTTTTCTCCAATATAAGACTTTTAATGAAGCGATTCGAGTTAAGACTAGCCAAGAACAAATGTTCTCACAAACTTAAATAAAGCAACGAAAGCAAGGAACTTTCACTAACAAGAATATGTTCTGAATAGTTCATGGTTTTATATTTTTACAAAATTTGTTATTGATTTCCTTTCCATTTTATAAATAATGACGCACTTTAGCGAACCGAGTCGTATACCGTTATATTGCAAGTCGGCAAATGGACGATAATTGTGTGTAAGTCTGTCGAGGAAAAAAAATTTCGTAAACAAAATTCGGAGAATAAAGCAAGAAGTAAATTATTTCTTTCTTTTTTTTCTGTCTTGTAAGAAATTGTTACCCTAAGTTTCTCCGCGTATTTTCTTTTTTTTTTTTTTTTTTTAAGGTTCGCTAAGCATCAGTTTTTTTTTAACTGAGTAGATCTGGTACTACATGAAGACGACTTATTTTCTGAAAAGCGACTAAAATCGTAACTGAGCACGCTCCTTTTATAATTTTGCTTCATCAGGAAAGTTGAAAGCAGGTTTTTTCCCTTGGTTTTTGGTTTTTATTCATTTATTTTGTATGAGGGACCGGTTTGGCTAGCCTTATTAAAATGTACGAACACGAGACCAAACAAATAAGAGACTCGTTCAGCGTTTATTTACTTCATTAATTAAAAAACACAAGCAAAACACTTCCTATGGAGCTCAAAATTCCTTCATTAAGTCAGGCATTAAACCAAATTAAAGTTACATTAATTTTCAGCGTCGTTGTATATTAGTGGGATTCTTAACGAGTCTCAACTTGCTGGCCCCTCAGGTGTGCGTCCTCATCTTGCAGGATCTGTTTGCAATCGAGTTGTCGAGCAATGGAGCAGACTCTTCGTTTCCGCTCTTCCTTCAAATTATGATTACAAACCTAAAAATTAAAAAAAAAGTATAATTGCAACCATACCTACTTGAAACATGAAGAGCTCCAAAAAATCAGAACAATTTTTGCTTCTAAAATTAAGCTAGTTTTTTCGCTTGTGATTAAAGGACACCTGGTTTTTTTTTGCTATAATTTAGTTTCCTCTTTACCAATTTTACTTGCTGCTTTTTTTTGAGTCCAAATTAAAAAGATGAATTTAAGTTTCTTACGCATTTACCGTCCTAGAGTCATTTTCTGCGCAAAATATTCCGCCTTCGGTTCCTTCGATCAGAAGAAGTGACAAGACGAAAAGAACACCCAAAGCCAGTTTTGTTTCCATTTCTTTTCTGAGGTATTTTCGGATTCAGTTTGCTCGTTAAGTTCGTTTGATGTGGAAGGGTAGTACAGGGGGTTTTTATAAGATCTTGGATCATCTGCACTCTAACTGACATGCCACGCCCCCAATGAAAAAGAAATGCCGCAGGTAAGACTATATCTTCATGCTGGAAAAAGTTTTTTAGCATGCAGCTGAACGGGATCAAATTCGTAGCAGCCTTGATGGTGACATAAAAATTTTTATAATTAACCCAAAGAGCAAACCAGAAAAGTGATATTTGCGTGGACTCTCCTCTCGCTTCTCCTTTTGTTTGTTTGTTTTCTTTTAGTTCCTTTTTTTTTTCTTTTTTTTTTTCATTATCACACGCTTTTAAGTCCCTCCTTCACTTTAAGTGTTTCGTTTTTTGTTAGTTGTTTAATGGAACTTGATACAACACCTCTTCGACATAATGAAAAAAAATTGAAAAAAAGTTTTCTTTCATCTGGATCAGAATTTGCATGTTATTCCAACTACCTTCTCTTAAAAAATACCAATTGACGACTTACTTAATGAAATTCAACGTTTTGTTTATGCGCGTGCCAAAGTCTCATTGCACTTCCGTTTAGACAATTATTAACTTAAATCGCTCGTTTCGACCATGCAGAAGGAAATTGGCGAACGAGC